ACGGCGTTGCTGCAGGAAGCCGTGTCCGCCCCTTGGCTAGGCCAGCAGCCCCAGAACTTCACCTCGGCCTGCTCCGCGGCGGGCGGCACGAAAGGCGGCATGCAGGGCAAGCACATTTGGAAGTCGGCGCTCTCGAAGCTGCCGCCCTCCTGCAGGCCTTTGTCGCACATGAAGGTGCGGATGGCCTGCATCGGCTCGGGCGGCAGCTGCTCGTCCTGCTCCTCCTCTGTGAGCGGCTGCACGAGTACCTCGCAGCCGAAAAATCTGTGCCCAGGCGAGTCGGACGGATGTCCGCAGGCCCTGCAATTCGGCGCCGCCGCCAGCCCAAGGTCGTGCTGGGCCTGTTGCGTCCAGGCCACCGTCGCCCAGTGGTGACGCAGGCTGGTGGCCGACGGGCCCTCCGCCAAAGCCGCGCGCCCGTCGCCCACGCAGAGCCGCATGGCCCGCACCCAAGGCTTGACCTCGCCGTGCTGGCGGTGGTGCGCCGCGATCTGCCTCGCCTGCCAGCGTTGCACGCCGCTGGTCAGATGCATCCTGACGTCCTTCGGGCACGTGGTGAGGAGGTTGATCGCCGTATCCTGGTCGGTGACCAGGGTCGTGCTGGAGTACATGTGCCATCCGATGCGCCAGAGCGTCAGCGTGACGGAGGCGATGGGACCGCGAGCCCCTGCCCAGGACGGGCGCCCCACGAGCCGCTCCGTGACCTTGGCCCAGGCCCTGTGGAGCCTAGCCAGGGAGGTGCGTTGTTCCCAGATCCAGCTGGCGTATCGGCAAACGATGTCGCAGGTGGCGCCGTAGATGGGGTCGTACTCGCGCGCCTTCTGCGTGGCTAAATACACCGTGACGCTCGATGCACCTGGCCGAGCCCCTGCAAGCCTGCCAGCCTCGGCCCTCAGCACCTGCAGCGTATCGTCGGTGAGCCCTGACACCCCAGCACCGTGAGCCGCACTCGGCATGAGGCCCGTCTTCCATAGGCAGGTAGCGCGCCTGCCCACTGCCCCTCTGAAAGCTGCCAACTTGCCGCGCCGCTCCTTGAGCTGCCGCACCCGCTTTGCCGTCTGGAGCCTAGCGATTCTGCGCCCGCCCAGATCGTGCCCCAGGTTGCGGGCCCAGCGCATCTTGGTCAGCTTGCGGGCCGCCGCGTGTCGGGCACACTCGCGAGCAGCCGCGTCCGATGAGACCAAGTAGCCCGACTTGGTGGGCTGCACGACAATGCCTCGCTCTTGGGCGCCCTCTCGGAACCTGGTGGTGGCCGCCCAAAGCACGCCCAGTTGCGAGAGCCGCCTCCCGCGCCACTGCAAGGTGACGTCGTCGATGAGGGCCCTCGGGGTGACGCCTGCATCTCGCACCTGCTCGAGCAGCCTGAACCAGGAGCATCAGGAGGAGGAGCAGGAGCAGGAGGAGGAGGAGGAGGAGGAGGAGGAGGAGGGGAGGAGGAGGAGGAGGAGGAGGAGGAGGAGGAGGAGGAGGAGGAGGAGGAGGGAGGAGGAGGAGGAGGAGGAGGGGGGGGAGGAGGGGGAGGAGGGGGAGAAGGAGGAAAAGGAGAAGAGGAGGAGGAGGAGGAGGAGAAGGAGGGAGGGAGGATCAGCAGCAACTGTTTTACTTGCTCACTATGGGATTCTCTATGGGATTCGCAGCATTGCGTTCTTTTCACGTAGCGGCCCAGGTTGCGCGGCGCGTCCGCCGCGGCGGCAAGGAAGCCGCGCAAGCGCGCGCAGGTCAGTCTCGCACCCCCGCCGCGCAATCGCAAATCCAAAAGACACCTGCACGGGGGCCCGCGGCGTGGATTGAGCTTTGAATTTCCACGTGGGCTCCCGCGCCACATGTGTTCCGCAGGACTCACGCGCGACGCGTAGCCAATAGGCTTCCCCGCGCAACGCGTTGCCAGTTGGACCCCATATGGGCCGCGGATGCCCAATAAGATTCCCGCGCGGCGGGTTGCCAATGCGATTCGCATGCGCCGGGTGTCCAATAGGGCGCTTGCACAATGGGTTTCCGAACCTCAGCTTCGTGTACGATTGGCCCTATAGCTCATGCATTGTCATCTTATTGGCGAATGGCGAAATTGTGGGCTTCCGAACCCCATCTTCGTGCACTGTTAGAATCATGGGTTTCCGAGCCTCACCTTCGTGTACGATTGGCTATATCGCTCCTGTATTGGTGTCTTGCTAGCGAATGGCGAAACTGTGGGCTTCCGAACCCCACCTTCGTGTACACTTAGAATCGTAGTATTCATAACCGATCTCTCTGTGGCTTCTGGGAGCGATTCCGATCGAATTCCTAGTTAACCCTACGTGGGTTTAATTGTATGTGTAGGCGATTCGCATGGCAGCGGAATCGCATCGATTTCGTATCCAATTTGCAAGATCGCCCAAGCAAACCCAAACCCGAACCCGAACCCTTACCCTTACCCGTGCACTGACACGTTCATCCTTAGTAAACACGAACATGAGGTTTAACACTCCTAGTAGTAGTAGTAGTAGTAGTAGTAGTAGTAGTAGTAGTAGTAGTAGTAGTAGTAGTAGTAGTAGTCGTAGTAGTCGTAGTAGTCGTAGTAGTAGTAGTAGCAGCAGCAGCAGCAGCAGTAGTAGTAGTAGTAGTAGTAGTAGTAGTCGTAGTAGTAGTAGTAGTAGTAGTCGTAGTAGTAGTAGTAGTAGTAGTAGTAGTAGTAGTAGTAGTAGTAGTAGTAGTAGTAGTAGTAGTGGTAGTGGTCGTAGTAGTAGTAGTAGTAGTAGTAGTAGTAGTAGTAGTAGTAGTGGTAGTAGTAGTAGTAGTAGTAGTAGTAGTAGTAGGTAGTAGTAGTGGTAGTAGTAGTAGTAGTAGTAGTAGTAGTAGTAGTAGTCGTAGTCGTAGTAGCAGTAGTAGTAGTAGTAGTAGTCGTCGTAGTAGTAGTACTATTAGAAGTAGCCGTAGTATCTGTAGTAGCAGTCGTAGTAGTAGTAGTAGTGGTAGTAGTAGTAGTAGTAGTAGTAGTAGTAGTAGTAGCAGTAGTACTAGTAGTAGTAGTAGTAGTAGTAGTAGTAGTAGTAGTAGTAGTAGTAGTCATCGTAGTAGTAGTAGTAGTCATCGTAGTAGTAGTAGTAGTAGTAGTACTGGTAGTTTTCGCAGTAGTAGTAGTAGTAGTCGTAGTAGTGGTGGTGGTGGTAGTAGTAGAAGTAGTAGTAGTAGTAGTAGTAGTAGTAGTGGTACTAGTAGTAGTAATGGTAGTCGTAGAAGTAGTAGTAGTAGTAGTAGTAGTAGTAGTCATATCAGTTGCAGTGATAGTAGTAGAAGTAGTAGTAATAGCAGTAGTAGTAGTAATACTAGTAGTAGTACTAGTAGTACTAGTAATATTATCAATTGTCGTAGTAGTAATAATAGTCGTGGCAGTCGTAGTATTAGCAGTAGCCGGCGTAGCAGTAGTAGTACTCGTATTGACTCCCCAGAAAGCCTTCCTGTTCGATGCCCCATGTTATTCGTATGTTTATCCTGTCGAAACCCAAATGGATGCTATGAAAACCTTCCTGTTATAATCCCACTGAAATTCCAATTGGAAGTCCTGCCCTGCTCCGCCATGCTAAGCTTTGGTAAGCCTTGGTAAGCCCTGGCTAAGGCCTGCTTGGGGCATACTTGGGTTGCCTGGGGGCCTCCTGGGCCGTCTTGGGCCTCTGGTGCCCCGAGGATCTCTTAGATTTCCTTCGGATTCCCGAAGATATTTCTAAATATCCTGAGGATATTTCCTCCGGATTCCCGAGGCTATTTCTAAATATCCTGAGGATATTTCTAAATATGTCCGAGGAGATTTCCTCTGGATTCCCGAGGATATTTCTAAATATCCCTGAAGATCTCTCTCAGGATTCCTGAGGTCCGGATTCCTGAGGTTCGGCTTCCTGAGGATCTCGCAGGATCCCCCCCGGATTCCTCAGGTCGGGACTCTTGAGGCTCTCCCAGCATTCCCCCGGATTCCTGAGGTCAGGATTCCTGAGGATCTCTCAAGATTCCCGAGGATTCCTGAAGGTCTCTCAAGATCCCCCGAATTCCTGGGGATTCCTGAGAGTCTCTCAATATTTCCCGAAGTCCAGAGGATTCCTGAGAGAATATCAAGATTCCCCCGACTTCCTAAGGGCCTCGCAGGATCCCCCGGAATTCCCCGGATTGCTGAGGGTCTGCAAATATCGTAAGATCTCTGAAGATCTCGTAAGACTTCTGGAAACCTCGTAAGAAATAAGACCTCGTAATATATCTGAAGATCTCGTAATATCCCGCAAGATCTCTGAGGATCTCGTAAGATGTCTGCAGTGGTTGGGATTGGGACCATTTCTGGTTGCAATACACTCCGAACGGTTGGAATTGGGACACGTCGGTTGGGATCCGTCCCATTTCCGGGGAGGTCCCGGGGTGAGTCCAGGGGGGGGTCCCAATGGGGTCGCCCTCCAGATACGCATCCCCCCCGGCTGGTTCGGGGGCCCTGAAAAGCCCCAAGACAGGGCAAGAATGCCCCAAGAGGCCCCCAAGACGAACCTTGAGGGCACCGAATCACCGAATTATCGGTCCCAGACGCAAGCTTAGCGCCCAGACGGCTCAAAAGGTTTTCAAAACAGCCCTCGGCCTGAGAGGCTCCCAGTAGGCCTCCAGATGCCTCCAAGAAGCCCCCCAAGAGTCCCCCAAGAAGCCCCAAGAGGCCCCCACGAGGCTCCCAAGAGGCCAACAAGAGCCTCTCAAGAAGCCCCAAACCTATCCCCAAGAGGCCCCCGAGAGCGCTTATCGTCGTCGTCGTCGTAGTCGTGGCCGTCGTGGTCGTCGTCGTGGTCGTCGTCGTCGTCGTCGTCGTCGTCGTCGTCGTCGTCATCGCCCTCGTCGCCCGTCGTCGTCGTCGTCGTCGTCGTCGTTGTCGTCGCCGTCCTCGTCGTCGTCGACGTCGTCGACGTCGTCGTCGTCGTCTTCGCCGCCGCCACCACCGCCGTCGGTGTTGTCGTCGTGGTCGTCGTTCAGGGTCGGCAATACCAGCCGTACGGCCTCTCCAATGAAAAAGTAAACGAACACGATGTAGGCCAGAAACATTATTACCCACACCGAGTCTCCGATGCCCTCAAGCGGCCCAACGAGCTCGTTCCAGCTGATACCACCAGACACCGCCCACCAAAGGCTAATCATTGATCGATAGAGGTTCCCATAATAAGACATCAGATTATCGTCCTCGATTCTCGTGCCACCCTCAGTGTGCTCCGTCACTGCCTGAGTCAAGACAACTCCGAAGGAAAACACGACGATGAGGAGCAACAGGAGCGCCCAGAAGACAGACTTGCCAGCGCAGTATAGCGAGTGCAACAGCACGCGCAGGGGCTTGAGCTGGCGAAAGGTACGGACGAGGCGGAGAAGGCGGGTAAGGCGGAGGAGGCGCAAGATCTTCGCCGAGCCGCCAGTGTCGAAGATTTCATGACCGCCGTCCGCGAACGAGTGCACAGCGAGCTCCAGGGCAACCTCGATAAGCGCCAAGAGCAAGATGACGATATCGAAAAGGTTCCACACCCTTTCGTAGACAAAGAAGTCGAGCCTGAACGCGTACAGCCGAACCACAATTTCCACGGTGAACATCGCAGTGAATGCGTAATTCGTCGCAGACAGGGCAGTCGACCACTGCTTCGAGCCAGACCCCTGCCTTGACAGACTAGAAAGCAGCTGGGTTTCGATGCCGATCATCACGATGCTGGCAACGATTAGGCAAGCGATCCCGATGTTGAATCCGCGGCTCTTCACCATGCGTACGACAGGCGTCTCCTCGTCCAAATGGAAGCCGTTCATGCTGTGCGAATGCAGGGTGTGCTCCGTCCTTCGGCTACCCGTAAGAGTGACCCTAGGCAAGAGTGACCTTCAGTGCGCGGATGAAGGGGGGCCCAAGGTGGCCAAGTCCAAGCGCAGGCAACCATTATCGCACCGCGCTCCGCGATCGGGAGGGCCCCGATGAGTCCGCACCAGCTGTTGCTCTGGCGAAAGGTCACCTTTACGTCTAGTCGAGTCCTCCGCACGGCGGTGTTGAACAACCTCTCCCCGTGCGTCGACGGGGTGTGCGCCAACGGGGTAGCGCTGCCGGACCGCCGCAAATTCGAGCTCGGGCTAGGGATGCCTCCCGTATCCGGCGTACCCACCAGCCCTTTGAGACGATGCCGCGCGGCCCGAGCCGCCCTCTTCCTCCTCGGCGAGGCGCTCCGTGCAACGGAGGCCCCGCCCGCCGCCTGCGCCGCGCCCTCGCCGACCCCGCTGGGCGGCCCCGCGCCGCCGGCCGCACCGTCGGCCGGGGAGCGTTCGCCGTCGCCCCCGGGCGGCTCCGAAGCGTCGGCCTGGCCGTTCGCGCCGCTCCAGATCTGGTCGAACGCGGCCTCGGTCTGCGACGCCAGCCCGGGGCTGCTGATGCTGCTGGCAGCAGAGAAGCTCGCGCGGCGCTGCTCCAGCGGGCTCCCAGGGGTCACTGAGCTCTGCGCGCTGAGGGTGCGGTCGACCCTGCCCGCGTGCAGCAACTCGTACTCCGCGGCGAGCTCGAGCAGCTGCTGCCGAAACAGGTGCGGGCTCATGGCGAGCTCCGGCCGCTGCCTGGCCTCGGGCATGGGAGGTGTGTGTCGCAAGTGGCCCGGGGCAAACCCGCCCGATCCCACGTGGCTTGAGCTTACGGCGGATTCACGATGACGCAGGCTGAGCATGCCAAATTGCCGCGGCAAACTGCTGCTGGGAGGCGAAATCGGCGACCAAAACTGATATTGCTGGTAAGGTTGGTGACCGGCGAGGCGAACAGGGTGGGCGCATCACGACAAGACTCAAATACGAGGGGCATGCCTTTTTGCGCACGCGCGCTTCATTCAGTGAGCTCGGCGCGACCCACATCATGGAAAGGCTTCCAAGTGCGTGGGCGCATTGCTCGGCGTTGCTTGCCATTGCTGAACACTGCTTTGCATGCTTGGCGTTGATTTTCACTGCTTGGCATTGCGTGGCATTGCTTTCTATGGATTGGCTTTGCTTTGCTTTACTTAGCAGTGCTTAGCATTGATTGGCAGCGCCCGGGATCCCGTGGAGTCCCGACGGATAAGACCGGGAAGCCCGAGGAATCCGAAGAAGAAGACCAAGGAACCCGAAGCACCCAAGCAAGGATCAAGACCAGGGAACCCGAGGAACCCAAGTTGAGAGCAAGGGTGGGAAATCCGAGGAACCCGAGGATTTCAAGACCAAGGAACCCGAGGAACCGAATGAAGGAACCAAGGAACTGGACCAGGGGACCCGAGGGAGGAAAGCAGGGAACAAGGCTCGGGGGCCCAAGGCCCTTGTAAGGGAAGCAATTCTGGGGCCCCCAAAGGCTTGGGGGCAACTACTGGGAAGCTTTCGTCGGATAAGCTAAAGCGGATTAAGCCCCATTTGGGAGCTGTTACTCCGGAAAGGGCCTCGGACTAAGCCGGATGAAACCGGATTAAACGGGATCAAGCAGGATTAAGCAGGATTAAGCGGGATTAAGCCGGATTAAGCCAGATTTCGGAC